GAGGGGGGTAACACAAATACTTATACATTTTATACTCTAATGCAAAGAATGCATTAAGGCAAAAAATGTCCTACCTTTACAACCACTTTAAAAGTATTGCAAGTTTAATAGGGCCACATACATCATTCTGCATCTGTGTTTATAAAGTGCCCTGTAAAATGTCAGTGCTTTCTAAAGTACATCCAAAAATATCCACATCAGCCCCCACATTCAAAGAAGCTTACAATTTAATATTCCTACCACAGTCAAACAGGCCAGTTGGTCAAAAGCCAGTTAAACTGTTCATATAAGTATGGTTTGCAAGAAGGCACCAGATTCCAATGATGAGACCCATGAGAAACTACAAACTTCCAGAAGATTGGGATCCTGGTAGAAAATTAACCTCAGAAAGAATGCTTTCCACATGCCCAGATGTCAAAACTGCATGCACTCTTCATATCTTTCTACTAGAATGCAGAGCAACAAACTTTTATAGCTGGACTTTGGCCAAGACATATTACCAAGAAGCCCTGTTTACAGTGCCATAGCAGCTCTTTGCGTTTTGCGCAGTAAAACAAAAATGATCAAGAAACGTAATAGATACAGTGCCTTGAAAAAGTATTCATCCCTCCTGAAATTTTCACATTTTGTCATGTAACAACCAAAAATGTAAATGTATTTTATTGGGATTTTATGTGACAGACCAGTGGTCTTCAAGCTGTGGCTCTGGGGCCAGATGCTGCTCTTTGCTTGCTTTTATCCGGCCCCTGCAGCACTATTTCATCCACTGATACCAACAATGGGTCAAAATTCCCCCCCACTGACACCAATGAAGGGGCACAATATCTCCCAATTACACAAACTATGGGGCCCAATTCCTCCCAATGACACAAACAATGGGGCACTATTCCTTCCACTGACATTAAAGATGGGGCATTTTTTTTCCCCACTGGCGTTGGGACCTTTTCTACTCCCATTGGCCCCCCTAAAAACTGAAGGACAGTAAACTGGTCATTTGTTTATAAAGTTCTGAGACCCCTGTGATAGACCAACACAAAGTGGCACATAATTGTGAAGTGGAAGGAAAATGAAAGATGGTGTCAAAATTATTGACACAATAAATATCTGAAAAGTGTGGCGTGCATTTGTATTCAGCCCCCTTTACTCTGATACCCCTAACTAAAATCTAGAGGAACCAATTGCCTTCAGAAGTTTCCTGATTATTAAATAGAGTCCACTTGTGTGTAATTTAATCTCAGTACAAATACAGCTTTTATGTGAAGCCCTCAGAGGTTTCTTAGAGAACATTAGTGAACAAACAGCATCATGAAGGCCAAGGAACACACCAGACAGGTCAGGAATAAAGTTGTGGAGAAGTTTAAAGCAGAGATAGGTTATAAAAAAATATCCCAAGCTTTGAACATCTCACGGAAAACTGTTCATTCCATCATCAGAAAATGGAAAGAGTATGACACAAATGCAAACCTACTAAGTCATGGCCATCCACCTAAACGGACAGGCCATGCAAGGAGATCATTAATCAGAGAAGCAGCGAAGAGGCCCATGGTAACTCTGGAGGAGCTGCACAGATCCACAGCTCAGGTGGGAGAATCCGTTCACAGGACAACTATTAGTCATGCACTCCACAAATCTGGCCTTTAGAAAGAGTGGCAAGAAGAAAGCCAGTGTTGAAAGAAAGCCATAAGATGTCCCATTTGCAGTTTGCAAGAAGACATGTGGGGGACATAGCAAACATGTGGAAGAAGGTGCTCTGGTCAGCTGAGACCAAAATTGAAACCAAAACGCTATGTGTGGTGGAAAACTAACACTGCACATCACCCTGAACACACCATCCCCACTGTGAAACATGGTGCTGGCATCATCATGTTGTGGGGATGCTTTTCTTCAGCAGAGACAGGCAAGCTGGTCAGAGTTGATGGGAAGATGGAAGGAGTCAAATACAGGGCCAATCATAAAAGAAAACCTGTTAAAGTCTGCAAAAAACTTGAGACTAAGGCAGAGGTTCACCTTCCCGCAGGACAACGGGCCTAAACATACAGCCAGAGCCACAATGGAATGGTTTAGCTCAAAGCATATTCATGTGTTAGAATGGCCCAGTCAAAGTCCAGACCTAAATCCAATTGAGAATTTGTGGTAAGACTTGAAAATTGCTGTTCACAGATGCTCTCCATCCAATCTGACAGAGCTTGAGCTATTTTGCAAAGAAGAATAGGCAAAAATTTTCACTCCTTAGATGTGCAAAGCTGGTAGAAACATACCCAAAAAGACTTGCAGCTGTAATTGCAGCAAAAGGTGGTTCTACAAAGTATTGACTCAGGAGGGCTGAATACAAATACATGCCACACTTTTGAGATGTTTGTAAAAAATGTTGAAAACCATTTATCATTTTCCTTTCGCTTCACAATTATGTGCCACTTTGTGTTGGTGTATCATATATAAAATCCCAATAAAATACATTTAAGTTTTTGGTTGTAACATGACAAAATATAGAAAATTTCAAGGGGTATGAATACTTTTTCAAGGCACTGTATCTAGATTATTTCATTCTTCTGTCTGACAGACATGAATCAGTCAGCAGTTCCTAAATATATGTGCTCTACTAACATTATGCATTACATTAAGTCAGCCTAAATGCTACATTCCTCTGGTGGGTGAGGGGCGCTAATACATTATATATACACATTTCCTTTCATACCTGTAGAAAGTATGTTTTGATACAATACATGCTAAAACAGCCTCACAACCACAAAGAAGGGGGTGGGAGTGTACCCAAAGCTTTATGCCTTTTCAAATGTAATACTGGGCAGATGTTAGCTGTGTGAAAAAAAAACATAATTTAACCACTTGCCTACCAGGCACTTATACCACCTTCTTTACCAGGCCAATTTTCAGCTTTCAGCGCTGTCGCACTTTGATTGACAGTTGCGCGGTCATGCAAGATTGTACCCATATGAAATTTTTATAATTTTTTTCTCACAAATAGAGCTTTCTTTTGGTGGTATTTAATTGCCACTGGGCACTTTACTTTTTGCGCTATAAACAAAGAAATTGCAAAAAATTTGAAAAAAAAAAAAAAAGTTTCTTTATTTCTATTATAAAAATTTTTCAAACAGGTAATTTTTCTCCTTCACTGATGTGCGTTGATGAGGCAGCACTGATGGGCACTGATAGGCAGCACTGAAGGGCACTGATAGGCAGCACTAATGAGGTGGCACGAATAGGCGGCACTGATAGGCAGCACTAATGAGGTGTCACGGATAGGTGGCACTGATAGGCGACACTGATGATGGGTACTGATAGCACTGATAGTTGGCACTGATTGGCGTCACTGCTGGGCACTGACTGGCAGCACTGCTGGGCACTGGCTGGCACAACCTCTGGGCACTGACTGTTGGCACTGACTGGCTGCACTGATGGGCACTGTGGGTGGCACTGGTGGGGGCACAGGTGGGTGGCACTGCTGGGCACAGGTGGGTGGCACTTCTGGGCACAAGTGTGTGACACTGCTGGGTGGCACAGGTGGGTCCACTGCTGGGCACAGGTGGGTCCACTGCTGGACAGAGGTGGGCGGAGCTAGTGGGCGCACTGCTGGGCACAGGTGGGCGGAACTTGTGGGTGGCACTGCTGGGCACCGATCATCAGGGCACTGATCATCAGTGCCCTGATGATCGGTGCCGATCCCTGCTCTAACAACTGCCGGTTCTCGGCAGTACTTTCCTCACGATCTGACAGTGTGAGGAAAGTGCAGCCGAGAACCGGCAATTGCATTTCCCGGTGATCAGCATGTCATTGGACACGGCTGATCATGTGGTAAAAGGCCACTGTGATTGGCCTTTTACCACAGCATGTGATGAGCTGTGTCTGTAAGACATAGCAATCACGGAGATCACCGGGTGCGCGCCCCCGTGGGTGCGCAGGAGAGCGCGTTCTGGGAGGAAGTCATATGACGCCCACCCAGAACTGGCTGGCCGCAGTGTAGCCATCATTCGGCTATCTGCGGTCGGCAAGTAGTTAATCATTCTGAATTCTTCTAAAGAGAAACTGAACCATGAAAGCTGTGCTCCAAAAAGACAGAGAACAAATGACTAGTCACCAGTACTGCATGTAGTCTCTTATCTTTCCCCATTATTGAGCTATCATGCCTTGTTCAGCCGTTTTGTAAAAATGGGCTGGCATACTAAGAGTGAAATCTAATGAGATGCATGCCCCATCTTGGACTTATCTCTTTATTTTACTTCTGATAGTTTTATGGACATAGCTATGGATAGCTATCTACGTTCCCAGAGATTTGACAGGAGACATGCTGTGTTCTCACAAATAGCAGCTATGCGTGCGCTCCCCTCTGCGGTTCATTCACAGAAGCATTTGTACTTGTATTTGTACATAATATGAAGCACACTGTGACTGGGTAGGAGGAGGGCAGCTGAAGACATGAGATCAGAGGGTCCGGTGTTGGAGCACTGGAAGAGTAGAGATAGCTATCATCTCACTACTCAAAAAATCTGTCAGATCTAAATTAAAGATACAAGTCCAAGTGGTGGCATACATCCAATTGGACTTAACTCATAGTGTGCCTGCACATTTTACAAAGTGGTTGAATTCCTGGAGTTCTGCTTTAAAAAGACTATATATCTGCTTTATTTTCAGTGCAGGCCACAAACAGCCATACATAAATGGACAGTGGTAGCATCAAATTGATAGAACTAATTTACAAATCTGGTATTCACCAGCCAGGGAACTGAAATTAGTCCATGTGTATGTGGCTTATGCCTGACATCAACTGAATCTGTTAAGTTTAATGTGCATGAAAGCTCAAAGTGTTTAAGGAGCTAATAAAAACCTGTCCAAATATAGAAAGCTCTGTAAAGCTTATCTTTTCCTACCTCCTCACACCTTATATATAAACGAACGCTTAGCATACATAAGAAGTGGGGGAGCTCTAGGGAGAGGTTGTGTTCTGGTGAAGACATAACAGAGACTCTGTAAAAGAACTGACTTACGGTGTTGAACAGATGGACTCTGACTCGCTCTCTTCAGCTGCACTGGTGTAAAACTGAAGCAGCTCATCTTTCATAGACAGTTCATGACGTAACTGAGATACCTGAACAAGACAAACAGACACAACAAAGTCAGCTTTACAATAATAGCACTCAATACAAAAGAAAAGGAGTATGTAAACACAGGATTATTTAGACAAGAGTGAAGCATACCATTTATTCTGTTTCATGGTCTGGGGTGAAAGATACAACTAGCAACTGAGTATCGTTACAGGCCTGATGCACCTAAGCATGGCTGCTACTGGCTTTTCAAAATATTATGTAATTTGCTCACAGCAAGAGAAAAAAAAAAAAAAGAAAAAAATTCACCTTTTTCAAAGATTGCTTAGAATGACTAAGACACATGTACCCGTTATCAACTACAAATGAATCAAAGATAGCTAAAAACTAACCATTAAGGAAGCAGTTTGTGTTGATTCTTGCTTCATGTCAGAAGAGTCCTAACTTCTAAATGGAGTTCAAAAGATTGCAAAAAAGCATCTTCTAAATCAGCGGTCCCCAACCTTTTGGCACCAGGGAGCGGTTTTGAGGTTTTCAATGGACTGGGGGGGGGGGGGAATAATATAGACTGCCACTAAGTGCAGTCGCTTGCCACTCATGGGACTTTTCAGAAGAGTCTTTCTGCCTATGATCTGTATTTGCAGCCGCTCCACAGCACTAGCATCACCGCATGCTCAGTTTACAGTAGGGTTTGCGTTCCTATGAGAATCCAATACCACCATTGATCTGACCAGAGGGAGAGCTCAGGTGGTAAAGCGAGCGGCTGCAAGGCTAATTCACAGTGCGGTGACAGACATTTTACTGAAATAAATATGAACAAAACATGCAGCGCTGTTAAAAATCAATCATACATGTAGAAAATAATACATTATAAGAAGAGTGATAAGGCGACCGCTGCTAAGTAATGGCCCATCAAAATGTTCATAAATTGCAATGACATAAATATCTCTAATGAGAGTGTTCTTGTGGTACACAGTGCACAATATCACAATGAAGTGGTGAACAAATTGGTGACTTCCGTGACCATATTCCTCCCACCGAAATGAGTGTAGATTGCACTAACCAGAAAGCGCAATAGAAATGCGCATTTGAGTATTAACCAACTCCTGGTCATCCGTCTATTTAAGCTGGATCACTGGGAGGGTCATCAGGCTAGCATCCGCTGGGCAGAATATCCTAACCACAGGATCTCCAGATGTCAGGGGGTTTACACTCGTCTCACCAGCAGGGGGAGATTAATCGTTCCCAGTGTGGCCACCAGATGGTCCCCAAACAAACCTTGAAAAAGGGGGGGGGCTCGCAAAAAACGAGCCAGAGCGACAAGAGGATCCAATAGTGTAGTACTTTTATTAGCCACAAGAGTAAAAGAACAAAACAGTAGATGTGCTACTCACATGGTATAGTAAGCAGCTGTGTGTGGGGAATACCAGGAATCATCAAAAGAAGGCAATGGCCGCCGGCCGTCCACAGGGGCCGTGCGGTGTGACGTCACAGAGTATGAGGCAATCGTGGGGCAACTCCCTAACGCTTTTCGTGCGCTTGCACGTTTTCAAAGGGAAAACAAGCTGTGACGTCACACGATTGCCTCATACTCTGTGACGTCACACCGCACGGTCCCTGTGGACGGCCGGCGGCCATTGCCTTCTTTTGATGATTCCTGGTATTCCCCACACACAGCTGCTTACTATACCATGTGAGTAGCACATCTACTGTTTTGTTCTTTTACTCTTGTGGCTAATAAAAGTACTACACTATTGGATCCTCTTGTCGCTCTGGCTCGTTTTTTGCGAGCCCCCCCCCTTTTTCAAGGTTTGTTTGGGGACCATCTGGTGGCCACACTGGGAACGATTAATCTCCCCCTGCTGGTGAGACGAGTGTACACCCCCTGACATCTGGAGATCCTGTGGTTAGGATATTCTGCCCAGCGGATGCTAGCCTGATGACCCTCCCAGTGATCCAGCTTAAATAGACGGATGACCAGGAGTTGGTTAATACTCAAATGCGCATTTCTATTGCGCTTTCTGGTTAGTGCAATCTACACTCATTTCGGTGGGAGGAATATGGTCACGGAAGTCACCAATTTGTTCACCACTTCATTGTGATATTGTGCACTGTGTACCACAAGAACACTCTCATTGGAGATATTTATGTCATTGCAATTTATGAACATTTTGATGGGCCATTACTTAGCAGCGGTCGCCTTATCACTCTTCTTATAATGTATTATTTTCTACATGTATGATTGATTTTTAACAGCGCTGCATGTTTTGTTCATATTTATTATTAGAGGCTTTTGGTGTTTGCCTTTCATGCATGTCGCTTTCTGTACTTTGTCCAGCGCTCGTTTCATTTCTGTCTCAATTTTACTGAAATGTAAAACGTGTGTCACCACAAGGACACGCAGGAAACAATTGTTTTCTATGTGTCCCATTCACAATGTAAGGCAGCCTATGTAGACATGCTGCATTTTATCACAGCTCTGCGTGCCGAACTGCATCGCAATGTAGAGCAGTGCAAATTCACACAGTGTGCGGTGACATACACTTTACTGAAAAGTAAACAGTCTGTCACCACAAGGACACACAGGAAACAATTGTTTTCTATGTGTCCCATTCACAGTGTAAGGCAGCCTATGCAGACATGCTGCATTTTATCACAGCTCTGCGTGCCAAACTGCATGGCAATGTACAGCAGTGCAGCAGTGCTAATTCACACAGTGTGCGGTGACAGACACTTTACTGAAAAGTAAACCATTTGTCACCACAAGGACACACAGGAAACAATTGTTTTCTATGTGTCCCATTCACAATGTAAGGCAGCCTATGCAGACATGCTGCATTTTATCACAGCTCACCTTGCCGAACTGCATTGCAGCACTAATTCACACAGTGTGCGGTGACAGACATTTTACTGCAATGTAAAGCGTCTGTCGCCACAAGGACATGCAGGAAACAATTGTTTTCTATGTGTCCCATTCATAATGCAGACATGCTGCATTTTATCACTGCATGGCAATGTACAGCAGCACAAAGTTTCATGCTGTTGTACATAGCCATGAATGAAGTGTCCATTTTGTACACTTCAAATAAAGTTTGTGAAAAAAAAAAAAATAGAGTGTGTGATGCGCTGAATCATGCACCACACTCCCCCCCACCCAACTGGGAATGGACAGCTGCTGGAGTGGTAAAGCACTCCGGCAGCCAAATTCCCTAATGCAGATTAAGCCTCCTGCTGTGTGGCCCAGTTACCAGTACCAGTCCACGGCCTGGGGGTTGGGGACCTCTGTCTTACATCTTCAAAAGGTATTTTTTTTCCTTTTTATCATGGTAAGGGTGTCCCATGCAGTTTTGAAACTGTTGTGATTTTTTTTGTATTGTAACAATTTTACCTTATTGCATTAATAAAAATGTATTTAGTGCTTTATTTATTACAGGTACTTATATAGTGCCGGCAATTTACACGTTGGTTTGCTTACACACACACACACACACACACACATACATATATATATATATATATATATATATATATTTTTTTTTTTTTTTTTTTTTTTTTTTTTGTACATTTACATCAGCTCCTGCCCAGAAGGAGCTTACAATCTAAGGTCCCTAACTCCAGATGAGTTCTAGTCCTCTTCCTTCCTTCATTACCATTTCTGTTTAAAAGCTATCCTGCCTACATTGCTTTCATGTTAAAAGCTAGGCACCACTTTCAATTATGATGCTGAAGGCTCAGCCACCCAAGGGGTCCAGGGGCAGAAAGCTGGGCTGCACTGCCTGTTTTTTACTGAAGTTCAAGAAGTTCAATTAAATCAGCTTTCTGATTTTGCACGAAATGCCCTGAAGGCAGAATTAGCAGTAACTAATGAATCGTATTATCTGCACTTGCTAAAACGCTATGTGTGAAAGCTCCCCTAGACATAGAATTAAGATCTACCACAACTGGATGAATGCGTGCTCAGATAATTATTTGTATAGCTGACACCACCACAAATATACAAAAGTCTTGCTGTTTATAGATACACAATGTTCATAAATACTTAGCATGGTTTCCGAAAAAAGGAACCGTATTCTAATGGCAGTGCAGTTGAAAAAGACAATTTGGTATCAGCCAACAGTCACATGAACAAAGTGAATGGTCAAAAAAGCATATCAAAATATTTAAGTTGGTATCTAATGCAGCTTTATATTGAAAATTGCCATAGATGCGAGAGCATAGATCTTTCAGTTTGGTTTATCCTTCCTACATATCTCTAGGTTTTTCAATAAATAAAGCTTCTTCTTTTCTTTTTTTTTTTTAAATAGATTTTACACTACACTATGAGATGACTTTGCTAGCTAGTCAGGTTACAAGATAAGATGTATTTTTTTTTTTGTTTATTTACAGTTTAGCTTTAAGTCATTAATAAATGCTATTGGGCTATACTCCACCACCTTTACGTTTACATGGGTAGCACAATAAAAGTATAATACCTGGTCTGTTGGGGTGTGCACTTCTCTTTTAAACTGACCAGTTGTTTTGGAAACTCTCAGACGATTTTGTATGAACTGTGCACATAGGTCGCTAGAAGCTATTATTTAAATGTGTGCAAATAGGGACAGTCAATCTTTCACTTTACAAATGAGGGTATGTAAGGTCATATAATATTACAATGTATGCATTCTCTACCTCTTCTCTAATGTGCTCCACTTGTTCTTCAAGGTATTCGTTCCTTTCTGTAAGGGTTTTATTCTTCTTTAACAAAGACTGACCAATCCGAGCAGCCAACTCTAGATCCCGTTCTTTCTGTGTGCATAAAACAAAACACAAAGATTTATTGTTACAAGTTAATACTGGAATGTTGTCTTGATATTTGACTGTGTTACATAAAGTTCTTTTCTTGTACAGGATACCTGCAAACCACATAGGTCAGAAAAAACAACTGTCTGGCACTGGAACAATAAAACAGGTGATTCTATGTATCTAGAAAACTTGGTCTCTATGTGCTTGGTATCATTAATGGATTACCTATATAAAGACATTGTTTATTATGTTGCCATTAGCTACCATAAAATGTATCTTTTTGGCACACCCTTATCAATGTCTTTATAAAAAGGCTGAAAGGACATGTACAGAATTCCCTCCCAACATTTATAACACTTGTTACAATTCACTTCTTTACAGACCTGTCATTTGGGAATATCCCTCCTGATAATAAATATCAATGTTGACATAACAGCAAACTTTTCAAATAATTGTACATACTATTAAACTGATTCAACAACCTGAGTCACTGATAAAATTCCTCTCTGCTACTGCATCTAAAGACAAGTCAGAAAGTCCTCATTTTACCAGTAAGGACTCATGGACATGAAAGTAAATACAAGCATATGGGCAAATTTCCCTTCTCCATTTATCCTGGTGGCCATTATCATCAGGACAGGAAGCAATAGCAAATATGGTACACACAGTAACAGGAGGTGCGGGGAAATCTCTGAAGACACCAATTTTGGCAACAACTGCCTTACTTTGGTAAGATTTCTACTCACTTGGGCCCCTTCCACATGGAGCGGATTCTGTTACGATTGGCAGGAAATCAGCTCACAGATCCCCTACTGATCGGAGCAGAGCTCTATTGGCGGCCAGGAGTAAGCAAACTCTGCTGTCCATTCACACCCGGCTACCCTCCAATCCAATCCTCCTAAATGTAAGAGGACAGATCCCCTTCATCTTTTTATTTTAGCGGACCAGATCAGACCCAAAGGTAGAAGGGTGTAAATGGACACATTTACACCTGCCTCTTCATAGGAATGCATGGACCTTCCAATTAGGTCCACCTGAAAAACTGACATGTAGACTTGATCAGATCCCCAGCACAGCAAAGGTAGTCTGAAAAAAAAAAAACTCTGACAAGTATAAAACCATTATCTACTTTTTAAAAAAAAAAAGTTTGAGATATGGATTCACTTTAAGTAATATCTTTTATTTTCATTTGTTTTTTTCGTTTCTACAATACATACATATGACATGGTACAACAATAAACACAAGAAGAAGTCAATCTCCATCTGAACATGTAAACCACTTCTTAGTGCATGTAACATACACTGTAATATGCCATCAACAGGCATACAAGATATAGGGAAAGTGAAGTCAAGAGCACATGCTTCACATACTTAACCTTAACGGATTGTACCCAAGCTATAAGCCTAGTACACACGATCAGAAAATTGTACAAAAAACACTGCTTTCGAAGCGATCATACTATGATCTGATTGTTAGCACACTTTCGTCTGAAATTATTCGAAGGGACAAGCATGAAAATTGTTCTCGTACGATACCAGATCATATGATTTTCATTTATTTAGTTTTTGTCTGAAAATACAATACAAATACAATACAATACATGACATCACTTTGAATTTTTATTCTGTCGTGCAATAACTTTTGTTACTTTAGTAACCTCTTCACTTTTGATAGGAGACTAGCATGCAAGAAAAACAGACGATCATTCATCAGATATCCTCATTGTGTGTACAGGAGCTATATATATCTGTGCATAAATAAAAAAATTAAGAAATAACTAAAGAAAGAAAAGTTAGAAAAAAAGTGTAGGAGCAAGAGAAAGATTAGGAAGGGATCAGAGGAAAGAACAGGATAGTAGGGTAAAGGACATGTTTTACCTGCTCAGAACAAATTTATCTCCTAACTTATACAGTCAGGTCCATAAATATTGGGACATGGACACAATTCTAACATTTTTGGCTCTATACACCACCACAATGGATTTGAACTGAAACGAACAAGATGTGCTTTAACTGCAGACTGTCAGCTTTAATTTGAGGGTATTTACATCCAAATCAGGTGAACGGTGTAGGAATTACAACAGTTTGCATATGTGCCTCCCACTTGTTAAGGGACCAAAAGTAATGGGACAATTGGCTTCTCAGCTGTTCCATGGCCAGTGTGTGTGTTATTTCCTCATTATCCCAATTACAATGAGCAGATAAAAGGCCCAGAGTTCATTTCAAGTGTGGTATTTGCATTTGGAATCTGTTGCTGTCAACTCTCAAGATGAGATCCAAAGAGCTGTCACTATCAGTGAAGCAAGCCATCATTAGGCTGAAAATACAAAACAAACCCACCAGAGAGATAGCACAAACATTAGGCGTGGGCAAAACAACTGTTTGGAACATTCTTAAAAAGAAGGAAGGCATCGGTGAGCTCAGCTACACCAAAAGACCTGGAAGACCACGGAAAAGAACTGTGGTGGATAACAGTTTGATGTCAGTGCACTTGAATGGTTTTTGTGCATTTTAATGGAGACAATAAGTAGTAATTTCAGTACGTATTAACAGGCATGTTCCACTGTTGGAGAAGCCATTTTTGAAGCACACGTATATAGACAGAAGTGGTTGCAAAGAAGCTGCAGATCAGCATTAATAAGATGGAACAAAGGAAGGAAAAAAAAAAAAAAAAGCGTTTACTTAAAGATGCATATATATCTATTGGTTCGCCAATACTCTGATCAATATTATGCATTTTGGGAGCTTGATGTCATCAGGTTACCTCCTCCTAAGAAAAACTTTAGTCTCAGTTACCCTTTACTGACCCAGTACCTTAAAAATCCCAGTGTCTTATACTCGTTTATCCTTACTCCTGCCAGATCTTCAGTTTCGACTAGCAGGCACAAAGTCTCAATACGAGGCAGTTGGACTTGGGTGAAAACATTTTCATTCATTTATTTAGAAAAGCTTTTTTATGTATTTATTTATTTAGAGGCTAACGCAAGTCCCTACAGTGGACAGTCTTGCCATGAATATGAATAGAGATTTTTTTTTTCTGTGCTTATGCAAAAGCAGCTACCGTGCCAAAAACCTTGCAGACGTTGCTGTGTGGCTCCCAGAAGATCACACAGCAAAGATCTGACAGGTTCAAAGACAGGTGAGTATAAGGCCTAGAGTAGGGGGGTTGCTGAGGAAACCAGTTAAAGTGGTTGTAAACCTCTAACATGAAAAATTAACAAATCATGTCTTTCTATAGTGTATACTAGCCTCAATCCTAGCAGCGGGGGGGGGGGGGGGGGGGGGGGGTTATGTTTCTCTGATATCGCCTGCCTCAGCATGAGTCTTTGATAATATTATGTTGACTCCAAAGCCTCCCGGGTGATGGCCCTTCCCCAGCAGCTGACTGACAGCCTCAACTGTGTATGTTTCCCTGTGAGCCATTTAGAAGTGGATGTAAGGTTTCACTGAGCCCTGTGCTCTAGCTCTGCAGTGTGTGTGACAGTGTGTGACATCAGATCCTCACCCACTGCCTTCTACTGCTAAGAACAGAATTAGCCTTTGATCTGTTTTGGTAGGATGTAGAGGAGAGAGGGCTACAGATAAACAAGTACAACTTATGTAGGAGAATTTGTTTCACCTCTGGATCCCCTGAGGCTAGTCACCTAAGTGGGTATACAGGGGTTTACAACCACCTTAATTTCCAGTACCTTGAAGTGGCTGGACAGATTAGGGCATCCTTTCTCAACTTTTTAAACTAGAAGAACCTTTGAAATGGAGTCTTGTGGAGACTTTGCTAAATCCAATTCATTGAGCGTCAGTGGGAAAAAATGCCCTTTCATTGGTGGTCAGTACAAAGAATACAACCCTTACACTGTGGTCAGAATGCCACCCTTGCAGATATACAAAATGGTGGGGTTATTGGTTTCATGCTGCTGACTGCCACTCCAACTACACAGGTGCAGTCAGATGGAAGGTCAATCAGCCACAGCACAAGGAGCCCCTAGCAACCTCTGAGGGAACTCTAGGGTTCCATGGAGCTCTGGTTGAGAATGTCTGAATTGGAAAAAAGAAACCAGATGACAATCTACCAAAATGCATCAGCAAGACCTAAAGCCTCGTACACACGATGAGAATATTAGATAAATAATCATCCCTTTTTTTTGCATGCTATCGAAAATGAAGAGATCACTAAATGTTACGAAAATTCTTGTACAACAGAACAGAAATTTGAAAGTGATGTAATGTATCGTATTTGTATTGTATTTTTGGGGGAAAATTGTACTGATTTAAACGAAAAAAATTTGTGCTTGTCCCTTCCAATAATTTCAGACAAAAGCTGTGTACTAACTATCAGATTATCATACGATCGCTTCGAAAGCGGTATCTTTTGTACAATTTTCTGATCGTGTGTACTAGGCTTCATTAACTAGTGACCAGAAAGTGCCGGAGAACGAATTCTTTTAGTTTTATCTATACAAAGCAAGAATTGTTTGCACAATCTACCACATATATACTGTATGCTGAAGGGCCACTTTTGAGATTTTACTGTATTTTTAGATCTTATGTTTATCTTAACAGGTTAGTTTATTGCTCAAAGTCCTTACAATATTTTTACATTTCTGAACAAATCAAACAGTTTAATTACCATTTAGACGATTCTGTGAAATATAGAATAGAGTTTTGTCCCAAAATGTTTATTAAAAAGCTTGCTTACAACACTGCAGTCAGAACAACAAAACTTTCCACGCAGCACTTTGACTTGCAGATAGTGAGGTCATGTACAGAAATGCAAATTGGTGGCAGACTCCACAATAGATAGACTCTCTGCTATAAACTGTTCACAGATCTTTTCAATAGGCTACTAAACAAGTATACATAAAACACACATCTACTGTCAATGTTCGTGAACACTATTGAGTTCCTTTAAAGCTCAGGTACAAGAAACTTACCTCTTCTAGAAGACGTGTTACAGCATCTATATCATTGTATGTTTTAGTCATCTGGCCAACTCGTTCAGCACATAAAACTGAAAATAAAATAAAGACAAAAGTAAAAAGTATGCATGCCTTTATAGAAAGTAACTACATAAAGAGACCCTTTCATAAAGCAAAACAACTATTTTTCAAGGAAAATGCCATTCCTTAAACTAAAAGGCATCCTGCACAACTGCCATTGGTTACCTTCTTATGAAAATGTTGACTATCTCGCACAGCAATACTTTTGGATTTGCTGGAATAAGTGTGCAGCTACTTAAGTCAGAATTCCAGATCTGCTCACTTGTTTCAGTGGCTCAAAAGTATTAAAGCCTTTTAATTAGCATAAAAGCCAGGTAACTGGCATTTTCAATAGGAGGGTTCTGTTACAGCAGCCTTATGTATTTTCTAAATTCTATGCCTGGAAAAGCGTGGAAAAAATACTTCCATCACAGCCTAATCACAACTGTGTTTGGGGTCAGGGTTAATTAAAGTTAAAGCTGAATGCCAGGAATTCAACTAATCTGTAAAATGTGCTGGCATACTATGAGTTAAGTGCAACATGCCACCTCTTGGACTTAACTCTTTTATTTACATCTGACAGTGTTATGGAGCTCTGGGAGTACAGCTAACACTACACTTTCAGAATTCTGACAGAAGATACTACTCATATACAGCATCTCTGCCTGTCCCTCCCTTCTGCTGTCCATTCACATGAGCCTTTAAATTTTGTGAATGAGTTCACATAACAGAAAGCACACTGTAATTGGGTAGGATGAGGTAAGGGGCGGACACAGCAGCTGCATGCAACTGGACTAGAGACCAGAAGGTCCAGCATCATAGTGCCGGAAATATAGCAATCCCCTCATACATCAGAAACCACATCTCATGATCATATGGACCACCAGATAATGAAGCAAAGCTAGTACAGAGTCTTTATTCTCCAGATCACTCTATGTAAATATATACTTTTATGTTGTTCTGCTATTGAAATAATGGCCCTCTACATATCTCATTGTTTGCCCTGTTGCCTTGACAGCAGTGCTGTAACCTGAGCTTCATATACAGACAATTCACATTTGTCCTCTTGTTAACTATGTATAAATTTACTTCCATTTACTTTCACCATCCTCAAAACAATCTACTTTAAGAAGTGAACGTGCGAAACAACACAGATATTTTTAGTTCACATGATGATTAATAGGTGGATGACGATACTGTCTGATAAGTCAATTTCAAGTAATAAATAACAGTTAAGGAGCAGCTGAAGCCACACCTATCAGCTGCTCAACAATGTCTGTCTGCTGCACACCCACAAGAAGTCATTCATCACAGAGATAGCTACAGTGTCAAGAAATTATTTAGAGAGAGAGAGAGAGAGAGATATGAATAGGCCACCAAACACCTATGTCGGGGTATTGGCCCAGTTGTAATCCATGAAATAAAGTATGCAGGATATGCAGCAGGCAATAGGTGCATTCAACTGGACTTACAGCAGGAGTTATTTTCCAATGTAATTTAATCAATGTCAACATTTCCACAGGGCACAATTTGTTTTTCCTCTAAAAAGGCAGGCTGTGCCCCACCGAAACATTGAAGTTTAATGTCAATGTTTCGGAGGGGCAAAGGCCACCTTTTTGGGGGAAAGGCAGACTGTGCCCCATTCCTTCTTCCCAAGATGGATATACAACAAAGCAGGTTATTCCTCCAATACTTTTGGACAACATGTAGACCTGATATTTTCTATAGGGTATAATTCCAGCACAACGTAGTACTTAAAATTACCAACTTAGACCCATTCATTTTGGCAGCCCTTGTGCTATATAGAAGAGTGACCAGGGTGAATCTTCTGTATACAAGGTGCAGGGCTAACTCATACCAGGTCCAGATACAATAAGGTTCACCTAATAGTTCAAAGGGATGGCAAGGTATAATGTAAACTACAGAACAGAAGAAATGGAAAAAAGTGGCATAGATTTTGTATTTTATATCTCTTTCTATAAACCTTAAATTTCTTCAGTACCATTTTTGGACTCACTATATAAAAGACATCAAGTATCATCCTACTTATAAATGAGCCTATGCAAAGCCACTGGAACTGATTGTTTCATCCTTTGCCGTCAGATAAGTAGACAGGCAAGCCGACCTTTAATTCAGCCTGGAAAACATACACCCAACAGGGTTATTAAAGTGACCTGTAAAATTCTAGAAAGTAAGCTGTAACTTTTCTTCTATGCAACTCATGAATGGGGTTATCAAAAAAAGCATTTGGAGACCTGTATGTCACAGTCTACAGGGAGGACATAGTAGAGCCTGGTGCCCCATTCTGTCTATTCCTATTATGTTTATATACATTTAAAAGTTTTACACACTGTGAAAAAAGTTGTGTAAATACATGGGAAAAAACCACAAGATTGCACTGAACGAATATATTTTTTTCCCTGGACACAGACTCCATGGATCCTTTTCTTATATGTTATAGAATATCCATGAACTTGAAGCACTTACTCACATTAGAAAATCAGCACAAAAACGAGAACTCAACTTTGTCCTGTAAGCCAAAGATCATTTCATACAGTTTACCTTGGATTAATTGATATTCCTGAGGCTGTTTAAAGATAACATATGGGTGTTGTCTGAGACTAAGGTATCTCATGTTGGCTGAATAATTTAGCAAAAAAGAAAAAAAAAAGTATATTATAATATATATATAAATATATATATATATATATATATATATATATATATATATACACACATATATACACACACACTGTGGGGGTTAGCTCAGGTGGGGGATCACCTTCCCTGGGAAAAAGGTAGACCGCACTGCAGGCTTTCTTAAAATCTGACGGGTTGTCAGCTTTATTTAAAAGGTTTGCAACATATCAAAAGTAAACAAACATCAAAAATAAACGCTTGCCATCCAGGCACTAACTAAACATGAGATGTTTCCTTTCTCAGAGGTGAAGGGCTTCTCCCCGTCACCCCAAAACCAAACAAAAGCAAACCTTTTCTTGTAGGTATAGTGCACACACAGCTCTCTCAGAATACCTCTCTGAGTCCCAGGCCACGAGCAACTCTTTGCTCCAGCCCTGTCTTATTTATACCACCTGTGGTGGTTATCAGTGGAGCACAAAATCCGATCTGGAACCACCTCCTGCTATTGTGGCCCCGAAAACCCGGAGTGGACTCCACCTTACACTTCACAGTATGATCTCATGTGAGGTGACACATAGGGGTTTATTTTTACTAAAGCTGGAGAATCCAAAATCAGGACTCCCTTCTGCATAGAAACCAATCAGCTTCCAGGTTTCATTGCCAAAGCTTCATTGAACAAAGCTGAGGTTAGAAGCTGATTGGTTTCTATGCAGAAGGGAGTCTGATTTTGGACTCTCCAGCTTTAGTAAATAACCCTTCTCTTATTGGAAGGACACCTTTTCGTCCATCCAGCGCTTCTTTCACGTATGTTTGGGGTCATTGTCCTGCTGGAAGACCCAGGATCTTGGACGCAAACCCAGCTTTTGACACTGGGCCCTACAGTGCGACCCAAAATCCTTTGGTAATCCTCAGATTTTTCATGATGCCTTACTGTCAAGGCACCCAGTGCCAGAGGCACAAAAACAACAAAACATCACCTCCACCATACGTAGGTACTGTGTTTTGTTCTTTGTATATAAACATAGAATATGTGCTTTACCGAAAAGCTCTACACACACAGACGTTTTCCCAGAAGGCTTTTGGCTTACCAGTACACAAACTGTACTTTTTTAACTTCAAAACTGCCAAGGTGTCATTTCATGCAGTTATGCAATAACATTCTGATCCAATCAAGTTTCAATTTTCCTCATAGAGCTGGGGTGTGCACGTATATGGACTTGTAACCTCTTCTCAGCTCCTCAGACAGTTCTGCAATGCTGTGCACAATGCAGCAGCACTTAAACTGTGAGAGGGAAGAGAAGCACTGTGACGCAATTAAGATTGTTCCATTGCACAGCATTGGCATTCTAATAATACGTTTTAATCATTTCTTACAGTGACGGAGAACCTAATCAAGGTGCTGCAGGTCAAAAAAACAGAAATCTTACTTCCATTTTTAATATTGTGTTCTGTTCCCCAGGGGACATCATCCCTCTAGTACTTTGCCCCATCTTCCTACATGCTGTCTAAGGCTATCTGTGAGTTCAGACAAGGCACCCCTCCTCCTTTCACTGCTGTCCGACAACTCAACTAACAAGGAGATGGCTGCTTAGAGAAACCACACACTTCTTCATCGCCAAGCACTTGCCCACATGCCTGGAACATTTTAGCCGACAAGGCCCCCTTCATTGCTCGTGAAATGCTTGTCTCAGGCAAGTGCTTGGAGGACCGACCGAAAAAGGTTGTTTGTCAAAGCAATCGTCTACTTACTAGCTGCGTTGTCGGATGATGGTGGAGGAAGGAGGGGTGCCCTTTCCAACCTCACAACTAGCCTTACACAACACATAGAAATATGGGACAAAGTACTATATGTCCTCTGGGGAACAAACCATAATAATCAGTCTAATGAACAGGGATTCCTCGTAAAAATCACACGTCAGGAAGTGCACAGGGTGTCAGCGGTATTCAAGACAAAAAGGTACTTTTTTCAGTTGTGCTTAGACACAATTATTTACAGATGTTTCCTATGTGATAACAAATTGTTATTTTTTGAGTTCAGATCCACTTTAAGGACTTTTGTGGAAGAGTCTTCCTTTTAGACATTGAAAATAGGATATGTGTTCCCTACTTTATCTCTATATCAACTGTAGTCTTTCTGTATTTTAGGAAAGACTGTTTTCCTTGTTCATGTTGCTTTTTAATTCAGACATTTGCACATTTCCATGCTCTGCAAATTAAAGCACATGCAAATTATCCTGGGCACAGCAGACAGCAAACATTTTTTTTTTTTTTTTTTTATTTCTCAGCTAATTAAAAAGCAAACTTTGTTCCTAGTCATTTTTCCAGACTGCCGTTTCCTTAGAAACAATTTCTTTGTAGCTGGTAGTTTGACAAGTTAGATTTCAAGCAGTAAT